CACCGCACCCCCCCCCCCGCTCCGCCCCTCCCCCGCGCCGTCTCAGCGCCCCCCCGCGGCTCAGCGCCCGCCCAGTGCCCCCTCCGCCCCGACCGCTTTATTTCGGCACCGCACCCCCCCCCCGCTCCGCCCCCTCCCCCGCGCCGTCTCAGCGCCCCCCCGCGGCTCCAGCGCCCGCCCAGTGCCCCCTCCGCCCCGACCACTTTATTTCGGCACCGCACCCCCTCCCCGCTCCGCCCCCTCCCCCGCGCCGTCTCAGCGCCCCCCCGCGGCTCCAGCGCCCGCCCAGTGCCCCCTCCGCCCCGACCACTTATTTCGGCACCGCACCCCCTCCGCCCCGACCGTTTATTTCGGCACCGCACCCCCCCCCCGCTCCGCTCCCTCCCCCGCGCCGTCTCAGCGCCCCCCCGCGGCTCCAGCGCCCGCCCAGTGCCCCCTCCGCCTCGACCATTTTATTTCGGCACCGCACCCCCCCTCCCCGCTCCGCCCCCTCCCCCGCGCCGTCTCAGCGCCCCCCGCGGCTCCAGCGCCCGCCCAGTGCCCCCTCCGCCCCGACCACTTTATTTCGGCACCGCACCCCCCCCCCCGCTCCGCCCCCTCCCCCGCGCCGTCTCAGCGCCCCCCGCGGCTCCAGCGCCCGCCCAGTGCCCCCTCCGCCCCGACCACTTTATTTCGGCACCGCACCCCCCCTCCCCGCTCCGCCCCTCCCCCGCGCCGTCTCAGCGCCCCCGCGCGGCTCCAGCGCCCGCCCAGTGCCCCCTCCGCCCCGACCACTTTATTTCGGCACCGCGCCCCCCCTCCCCGCTCCGCCCCCTCCCCCGCGCCGTCTCAGCGCCCCCCCGCGGCTCCAGCGCCCGCCCAGTGCCCCCTCCGCCCCGACCACTTTATTTCGGCACCGCACCCCCCCCGCTCTGCCCCCTCCCCCGCGCCGTCTCAGCGCCCCCCCGCGGCTCCAGCGCCCGCCCAGCGCCCCCTCCGCCCCGACCATTTATTTCGGCACCGCACCCCCTCCCCCGCTCCGCCCCCCCCCCCCGCGCCGTCTCAGCGCCCCCCCCGCGGCTCCAGCGCCCGCCCAGTGCCCCCTCCGCCCCGGCCATTTTATTTCGGCACCGCGCCCCCCCTCCCCGCTCCGCCTCCTCCCCCGCGCCGTCTCAGCGCCCCCCCGCGGTTCCAGCGCCCGCCCAGTGCCCCCTCCGCCCCGGCCATCCTCCCCCCCCCTCCTCCTCCACATCCTCCTCCTCCCCCTTCCTTTTTGTGCAAGAGCCATGGCACACGTGCCACTTGTTTCTGACAGCTGCACTGGGCCAAGACGGCATCATTCGAAACACGGCTAACGAACGAGTGCGCTATGCCAGCTTTTTTGCGGAGGCAGCGCGCTTGGAAAGCATCCAGTTTTCGGAGTTATGTTGTTTTTCAGCCACCGAGTGTGCAAGCAACACATCAGGCCAGATATTACGCAAGACTGAAAAATCAAGACCTTTTGGACAGTGAAAAATTCGTATGCTTCCAAAGTTTGCACAAACTATGGAATTGCCTGTATGCAATGCCGATCCTTCTGCTCAGCTCAGGGCCGCTGCCGCCGTCGGCGTTCAGTAGCCCGCCCAGGTAGATCATACTGTCTCTCTGCGGAATTGTCGACCCGTCTGGTCGGGCAATATGCGTCTCGCATCCCACGGACAGGACCTCGAGCTTGCCCCAATTGAAGCCCAATCCAGAGTTCCTCCCGGCCTCGCGCAAGCACTCCATCAGCTGGTAGACGAACTCTTCTTCTGCTCCGACTACAAGGGTGTCGTTGGCGTACATGATCTCGCTAACCAGAACTGAGTTGGATTGCAACATCCCGTGACCAGCAAAGCTCCGCCTCGCGTCGTGCATGAGGACCGTCATCACGATCGAGAACAAAAAAGGTGATAATGGGCATCCCTGCGATATGCCGAACGCCTGCGGCCAAGATTCGGAAGTTTACCAAGCATCCTGGACGCAGAAGCTCCTTTTGTTGTAGATTCCCTTCACAGCGGCGGCGAAATGCTCAGGGATGCCGAAGCGGATCAACGCCTGCAGGAGGCTTTTGCGACACGCTGTCGAATGCTTTATCCCACCAGAGTGCGAGAAGAAGCAGCCTCCCAGACGCTGTGTCCACGGTGTCCTCGATCAGCCGCCGTGCGACGAACAGTGCGTCGGCCGTTCCGCTACCAGATCGGAATCCAAATTGCGTTCCCCAAATCCGGTCCTCGGCGCCCACGCACTTCAAGCATGCAAGCAATATCGCGGCGTAGAGCTTGTACCCGATGGGTAAAAGTGATATCGGCCTGTAGTCCTCGCACTCGGCGACGTCGCCTTTCTTGAAGTTAGCTGTGACAATCGACTCGTGCCAGGCGTCGGGCACAGACGCTTCCGTCCAACACCGATTGCAAAGCAGAACGGCCCACTCGCATGCTGGCGTGTCCGAGCTGCGGATAGTTTTCCAAAACTCAGCTGGGACGCCGTCATTGCCGGCCGCGCGATTCCGTTTCAGCGTACGTGCTGCCGCGCACATTTCCGCCTTGGTAATCGGGCTTGCCTGCACTGGTACCTGGGGCCCCAACGGTTCCGGATCGTCCACGGCAGTGACTGGCCGCACGGCCCACTGCATTGTAGCGAAGTGTTTGGCCAGAGTCTGGGCCCGCTCGTCGCTATCAACTTTTTGGCCGCGTAGGTCCCGCAATCGCCCTTGCGTGGCGCCGCGGGGCTTCCGGAGCTTGCGCACCTGGTCCCATTCGCCGTTCTCCAACAGTCCGTAGAATCAGTGCTCCTTGTCCTTCTTGATGGATGCTCTGATCTTTCCGTGAAAACGTTTCTCCATCGCTGAATCCCTTTGTCGTGTCGCCTCGTTCCGCCTGGTGATGAGCTCCATCGTGGCGCTGCTCACCCACGGTTGCTTTCTTCGTTCTGCCTCTCGTGGGAGGCATTCTGCGGCAGCAGCGAAAGCATTGACCACGGTATCATGCAAGCTGTCCAGAGACTGGTGCTGGGACAATGCTGACAGGTCCAGTTTCGAGTTCTTCTCGTGCTTTGATTTCGGCATCTCTATGCGCACACGGCATTGCAACAGAAAGTGATGCGACGCAAGTGCATAATCCCAGCTGCTCCACACGTCTGCCACCAGATTCATGCAGTCCGCGTCGCACAAAAGAACATCGATTTGACCGAAAGGTTGCGGCACAGCCAGATCTCCTGGATGGGATTCCATATTGTAGCGCGTGATTTGGTTATCCGCGGAATGGTCGAAGAACGTGTTGGCGACAGCCAGCCCCTCTCTCTCGCATAACTCCATGAGCAGGCTTCGGTTCGACAGAGGGTTGTGCTGAGCCTGCGGGTCTCCGAAGATGTGGTCTCCCATAATCAACTCCTCTCCCCCGAATCGCCTGAGCAGCCTAGCGTTAAAGTCTCCCAACACCAAAGCATGCCCATGTCTGGACGTGCTAGCAATAATATTGCCCAGCTGATTGTAAAAGTCTTGCCTATCATCGCCCGGCTTCCCATTATAAGGGGCGTATATGCTGAAGATCGGCACCTTTCCGCCCCGAACACGAAGCTTCAAATACGAAATTCTCTCGCCCATCATTTTGAATCCAATAACGCTCCTGCGAGTCCGCGGCGATACGAGAAAGCCAACTCCAGCAGTCTCATGGGAGCCAGGGCTTCCAGATAGAACGACCAAAAACCCACGTTCGGTCGTATATTAAACGGACTCGTGCTTGTGAGTCTCTTGGATGGCGAGCACGTCGATGCCCAGCTTCTCCATGTAGATCTGCAGTTCCTCCTCCTTCGCCTCCGTCATGCCCTCGACGTTCCACGAACCGATAACGATATCCACTGCACAGGGTTGCAAGCGCCCTCCTCGGATATCAGCCCCTCCTCGTCCAGTGCTGGCGTTGCCTCGCCGTGCTCTGGTCGCGCCTTGAATGCTTTCATGAATTCTTGATCGATATTTAGGAGCAGTATGGCCGACTGCGGGTGAAACAATTGTGTCTGGTATTTCCTTTTCTGGATGGCGCCCTGTGGCCCCCTTCGACGAGCCCTTGACGCCGCCCTTCGATCCCTTCATGCCGGCCGCTGCCTCTGCGACCAGCTGGTTCGACCTGTCCAGGAGATCCACTGTGGGTCACACGATCAGGGAACACGTGTGGTCAGTGCGAGCTCGCCGCCCACTGTCGCCGTGGAAGGAGCAGAATCGTTGACGGACACTGTGAAGGGAATGTTCCATGCCTCTTTGAATCTGTGTTTCATCCAAAACAGAAGTTCTTTGTCGCCCTCTCAGTGATAGGGCGGTCTTGCTTGGCCCACACGTTTTTCCCACCCGATTGCAATCCTTTCCTCCTCAAGACGTCCACGGCGGCGTTCCTCTCCACCGAGTTCCGGAACTCCGCGAATAGCACTCCAACGAAATCCCTTTTCGATCGCCCGCGGATTGCGTGCAGACTGGAGTCTGATGCGTGCTCTCCTGCGTCATGGCCTCCCTGATGTAGTCCTTGATCTTGGTGTCAAGCTCCTGGGGGGCGTAGGTCGGCTTATCCTTCAGCAGCTCGTGCACGTTCTCCAGCTTCTCCACCCGCGCTTCGATATCGAGAATGGCAGTCTCCACGTGGTCTATGCGGCCAGCCAGCGTCTCTCCGATGCCCGTGACCTTGGCATCGAGATTACCGAGTTCTGCGCGCAGGCTTTTGACCATTGACGTCACAGGGGACAGCTGCTCCTGCAGCAGGCTAGCGATGCCAGCCATGTTCACGTCGTTCTGCTGGTCGAGATTCGGCTTGCGGGCCGGCATCTCGATCAGCTCGTCTTCGGAATCGTCCTCGGGAATCTGGACGTAGCCCTCCTGCTGCTCGCGGTGTCCTGGGCGTTCCTCGCCAGGAAGAGGAGCAAGGGGGGAATGAGGACCATGTCCAATCCGAGCTTTCTTGTTCTCCCTCATCTGTCCCCATGGGTCCTTCACAAGACTTCCGACAGGAGTGCCGGCCATGCGGGTATTCCCAGTCTTCGGAGGTGGTGTGGGAGACATCATGGCCTCTAGCTCCTGCTCAAGATTCCGGGGCGATCCGGCCATCGGCGCCGACATGGTGCGCAGTGGTATCAGAGGGTCGGGAAAAGGGAACGGGATTGTGAATGTGAGTGCAAGTAAGTAGACAGGGCTCTTGAGCCAGGACTCGGGCCCCAGGACCGTGAAACATTCACCCGGGGTGAAACATTGCACCAGATGGTCCCCCGGGAAGGGTCTGGGGACTGATTTTGAGTGGACTTGGCATGATCTCCCCCCCCCCCCTCCTGACTCATTTTCTGGGTTGCCAACCAGTTCAGACTTGGTCGCCTCCAAGCCTCTGGTTGCGCACAGGCAGCCCCGCCGACTGGCGGCGAAGTCCGACCCCTGCCCTCGCCGATCAACGATTCAGGCAACTCGACGGGCGGCAAGGGTGGGTTTCTGGATTCGTCGAACACGTAGCAAGATCCGAACCCACCCCCAGCATCATGATGTTCCAACCTACGTTAGCCTTGTTCACCAGAGAGAATTACGAGCACCAAGAAAGTACCGAAACTTGTTTGACACTGCTTCGGGCATTGGGCCCTGGGAGACACTCGTTTGACACTGTTCCGACACTTTTCTGGGTGCTCGAGATTATTTCTGAGATGTGGTTCGTAAGTACAATGAGAGCAACATAACCCCAGCCTCCCATCGATTCGACGAATTGATATGGTTGCTGGGGGGAGGGCTCGAATGTCGCCACCTGGTTACCCGAGTAGGCCCAGCTGGCCTCAACAGGCCCACCGAGCAGTCCGAGGCGGTCTCAACACCCTGGCGCCGCCTCTGGCGGCGTCCCTGGGGCGCTCGACGCTCCAGGAGGAGGAGGAGGAGTAGGAGGAGCAGGAGGAGGAGGAGGAGAAGGAGGAGGAGGAGGAGGCATCTTGGGAGCCCCGGGGGGCACTCTTGGGACCTCCTGGGAGCTTCTGGGACCCTCTTGGAGGTATCTCGGGGGCCTCCTCCGTGGGCCTCTTTTTGGGGGGCCTCCCGGGACTTCTCGGGGGACTCTTTTGCCGCCTTAGGGCACTGCTGGCCCGTCTGACGCCGTCGGAAGCCGTCTTGAGGGCCTCTCCGGGCCGACTCGGGTCCCCCTTTGGGTGCTCCAGGGCTGGGGTGTTGAGACCGCCCCGGGCTACTCGGGGGGGGGCCGTTGAGGCAAGCTGGGGCCGCTCGGCGGGCCACCCGAAGCTGTAACATTCCTCCTCCTCCTCCTCCTCCTCCTCCTCCTCCTCCTCCATCTCCTCCTCCCCCTCCTCCTCTCCCTTCCTCCTCGTCCTCCTCCTCCTCCTCCTCCTCCTCCTCCTCCTCCTCCTCCTCCTCCTCCATATTCCGAGACATCCGCGGATAGTGGGCGGCAAAGCATATCCGTATCCAAGGCCTCGCGAGCTGGGCCACTGGGCCGCGGCCCCGTGCATACGTGGCGCTTTCCTGCGACCGCGCGGAAAAGTATTTGTGCGACCGCGCGTCCGTGGGAGCTCGCCCCCGGAACCCGGGCCCTGATCTCCCGCCCCCCAACATTCCCGATCTCCCATCCAGAGGCCGCGATGCGCGCCTTCTTGGCGAACCCCAGCGCGCCCCCCCGGCTGTACGGCTTCAGCTGGGAGGACGGCTTCGTAGCGTGCGCGTGCCCAGCCGCGCTCATGTGAAGCCCGTCATTGTCGTCGTCATCTTCGTAGCCATCCTCGGGGTCCACTTCGATCTGATCGATCCGATTGGAGATCGATTCTGGCAGGCCCGATCCGAGTCGATTTTGGTATGACGGCGATCCAATACGGTCCGCTACTTCCATGGCGTTGTTGTGAACCCTGGAGCAGCCGATCTGAATCGATTTCGACTCCCTGGCGCTGCAGGCCGATCCGGAACACATTTCGATTGCATCAGATTTCTCGATTCGATGTTTTTTGTTCCAGTCTCCCCTGCATCCCCCCTTGTTCAGGCCAGCTGCGGTCATTCCAGGAAATTCCTCGTCGCCTTCTTCGTTTTCTTATTTGTGTTTATCTGCCTCCACCCCGCTCGATCCCAGATCGTGTTCTCTACAGTCGCTCAGTATGAATAGCTTTCTCTCCTCGAAGATTGTTCTATGTGGTTCCCCGCGCAGGATTACAAGACATCATCTGTCAAATTTGTTTTCCGTTCGGGATATCATCGGTCATTCACGTTTGTGCTCCCGCCGCAGCGTTATCCTCGCTTCAGGATCGGAGTTTGCTCCCGTCCTTTAGATTCCTCTCGCTTCGCGGGGTGCACGTCCGGAGCACGTACAGTCACGTCGTCGCGGAGCCTCTTGGGAGCCTCTTGGGGGCCTCCTGGAGGCCTCCTAGGAGCTTCCTTGGGCCTCTTGGGGGTTTCTTTGGGGCCTCTCCCCCCTCCCTCCTTTTCATACTCTCTCCCCACATTTCCTTCCAGCGCCGGCTCTAATCATGGGCGTCGCTGTGACCAACTTCCACCTGGCTGGCGCTGCGCCGCAGTTCGCCCAGAGGGGGGGAAATATCATTACACTCCAGTCGCTGTGTGGCCTTTTGGGGGGTTTCTTTGGAGCCTTTGGGAGGCTTCTTGAAGACATCTTGGAGGCCTATTGGGGGCTTTTTGGGGCCCCTTGGGGGCCTCTTGGGGGCCTCTTGGGGCCTCTTGGGGGCGACTTTGGTCGTATCGGGGCGCCTTTGCCCCGTTTTGCCCCTCCGGAGGCCGTCTTGGGAGCCTCTCGCGGCCGCCTTGGGGCCGTCTTGGGGTCCTCTTGGGTCGTCATAAGGGGCCTCTTGGACTTTTTTGGGGGCATATTTGGGCCGTCTTGGGGTTCTGTTGGGCCGAATTGGGGCCCTCTTGGGGGCTTCTAGGGTTGTTTTGGAGTGATTTTGGGAGCTGCCCGGGCCGCAAAAGCGAGAACGCTAAAATATCACCAAACCGTATTAAAATCAATGATTTTGGCCTCTGGAGGCGCAGTTGTGGGCGCTCTTGGGGCCCTCTTGGGCCGTCATTTGGGTTTTTTTGGGCCCTTTTGGAACCATCTCGGACCGTCTCGGGGCCGTTTTGGCCCGCACAGAGCCCATGTTGAACCGTCTTGGCGCCTTCTCGGCCCCCCAAGAGGCCCAAGAGGTCGAAATCATCGATTTCCTGTAAGTTTTGGTAGGTTTCTGAGCCCCGGGATGGGGGGGGGGCACTTTGGTCCGGCGGTGTGGCGCAGCTCCCAGGGGGAGTTCGGGGGGAGTCATAATAACCCCATGCCCGCGATAATAATGTACCTCCCCCTTAAGTCGTTCGAGTTTGGTCGGGGGCGCGGGGGCGCGGAGGCCGAACTTCATTATCATTGGGAAAGTTCGCCATCGAGGTTACTTCTTTCTTATGTGGGGATAACAACATCAAGCAAAGCGAACACGTGTGCTCTTTCTCTCTTTTTTTCTTTGTGTTGTTTTCTGTTTCTCTCTCTCTCTCTCTCTCTGTCTCTCTCTCTATCTGTTTTTCTTTCTCCTCCTCCCTCTGGCGCCCTGAACTTGTTTATCGCTGGGGTTGATTATCCGGGGAAAACTAAGCACATGAGCTACCCTACACGAGCAGATGCACATGCTAATTGTCATCAAGCGTTTACAAATTTCATCTAATAAGTTTTCAACTTTGGATTTTTGCTTCTACCTTCTGCTCTGCTTCTCCTGCTCTTCCTCCTTTTATCCTTCTCATTTTCCCATTATTATTCCTTTATGTTTCCCTTTCTATGTTTTTTCTTCTTGTCTCCCTTGCCCCCGGATCTTGTTTATCGCTGGGGTTGCTTATCCTGGGAAAACTAAGCGCGTGAGCTACCCCTACACGAGCAGATAAACATTTTAATGTTCATTAAGCGTTTACAAATTAAATATACTAAGTTTTGAACTTTGGATGTTTGCTTCCTCGTTATTCTCTCCTCCTCTTGCTCTTTCTCCTCCTTCTTATCCTCTTCGTCCTCTTCCTCATCTACCTCCTCTTCCTCGTCTTCTCTTTCTGAGGAGGAGGATGTCCCAAGCGAAGCAAACAATTCGTTGAGGATGTCTCAACCGAGACAAATCATTGTTGAGGATGTCTCATAGAGGACCGAAGACCAAGGATCCTCAAGATATCTTTGGCTTTTTCCTTTTGGTATCTCTTTATGCTGGCTCTGGCGGGCAACTTTTACTATCCCCCCGAAAACCCCGGACTGTATCATCCTTTATGGTTTATTATCGGGGGCATGGGGTTAATGTAACACAATACAACATGTGGCAAATATGCAATCATTGGATAAATTGGATACGTTGCAGTAAGGCGTTCGCCGAAAAACGCTGCCGCTCAGCACGTCACCTCCGGACGTGGATTCATTGGCTTACGCCGCACCGCCGACTCCTTGGGCGGCAGCAAAAGTGCAAGACAGACTTCGCGGAACGCGCGCGATCGCTGGGCAATCTTGGGGTTTTCGGCCTGTCCTACGTAGCGTGTGGGGTTCAAGGGGGGGCCTTGTAGGGGATTGTTTTGAAGTTTTTCTCGGTCTTATGTGAGTTTCTTGGGGCTTTCACGGGGCATGGCGCAGGCCTCCTTTTCCACCTCCTGGATCGGCTCGGGGGATCGTTGAGACCCAGTTGGGGTTGCGTCCGGCCAGAAGGTCGAGAGTGGACCCAGCTGTGTCGACGAGCAGCTTCCTGAAGGCCCAGAGGGCGCGGAGAGCGCCCAAGAACTAGGAGTCTCATGCCTCGAGCCTCGATCCACCCCGGCGTCTCGGGGGCCTCTTGGGCCGTCGTGGGGGGCTGCTTGGAGCCCTCTGGGGCCTCGTGGGGCCTGATGAGACCTTTGCCCCCCGCCCCCCACCCCCCCTTCCGAACCGGCCGGACCCGGCTCCCGGGGGAGGGGTTTGGGGAGGGGGAAGCATCTCACACTCGGCGACTACAATCGGTGCTGTTACGCCGGGGTGCGGTTTGCGAGTCGTTTTGTGGCGGCCTTTACGGGGCCTCTGTGAGAGACAATGCCATAATTATCGTCGTTGTCATCCTCGATGTGTGCTCCACTGTATTAGACGGAGCGACAGTGTCATGTGACATGTGATTCGGTCGCATTGAGTGACAGTGTCATCCGTTTCCGGGGGGCGGGAGGGGCACATAAGACGGGAGGCAAACCGCACCCTTCGCAAACCGCACCCCTTGTGCTCGCCGACACGCCGTGACCCCAAGGGGTCGGCGGATTTGTGCTCTCGTCCCAGCGCGGGCCATACTTCTAGCCCCGATTCCTTCGGGGTCGTTGCCGGCCCCATGTTTTCCCCTGCTCCGCCTTCCCATGGTCCTCTTGTCATTTTGGCCCTCCTTCTCATCTGGCTCCTGCTACTCCTCTTCCCCCTTAGCCAGCATCCTGCTTGAACGATGCGCCCACTCGCAGGCAGCACGAAGAGTGTGCCAACGAGTAGACTGTCTTGTTTGTGGCTTTCGTGCTGTCCAACCTTGGCGTGCCAGTGATTTTGTAGTGTTAAGTCCTGTCCCCCCTATCTGATTGCGCAGGGATCCAAATCCTCCAGGACGCCCCAGTCAGCGGAGAGAAAATGATTCCTCTCGCTTTGCGTGGTGCACGTCTGGAGCACGTACAGTCCAGTCGTTGTCGGGCCTCTGGGAGCTTCTTGGGGGCTCTATGGGGGCCTCTTTGGGGCCTCTTGGGTCCTCGCGGGGGCGTCTGGGAGGCCTCTTGGGGGCCTCTGGGAGGATGGGGGCCTCTCGGAGCCCCGTGTGGGCGTCTTTGGGGGCGCTCTTGCGCTGGCTGGTCCCTTCAGAGACTGTCTCGGGGTACTCTAGGGCCGTCTTGGGGGCCTCTTGGGGCATCTCGGCGGCCTCTTTCGGCTGTCTGGGAGCTCTCTTGGGCCGTTTTGGGGCCCTCTTGAGGGCTTCTTGGGCCGTCTGGGGGCCCCTTCGGAGGCTGTTTTCGGCCGTCCTGGACCTCTGAGAGTCGAAATAGGCGGGAACACTGCAATCTTCAAAAAACCATTGGAAAATCAACGGTTTTGGGCTTCTGGAGGTGCTCTTGGCGGTCCGGCCCTCTTGGGGCGTCTGGGGGTCTTTGTGGGCCTTCTTGGGGCCATCTTGAGCCGTCTTGGGGTCGTCTTGGGGCCATCTCGAGCCGTCTTGAGGCCCTGTTGGGCTCCCAAGAGGGCCAACAGGCCCAAGTCATTGATTTTCTATAGGTGTTGGTTGGTTTTTAGGCCCATATGGGGGGAGGGGCCCACCTGGGGTTGGTAAATGTGGCGCGGCCTCGGGGGGGGGGGTAGGGGGGGAGACATAATAAGGTAACACAATTCAATATGCAGCAATTGTGCAGTCATTTGATACATGAGATACGTTGCATTATCGTCTCCGCAGACCTGCCTCTGGCAACACGTCACCTCCGGACGTGGATCTACAGGCTTACGCCACATCCTCCGACCCTACGGAAGGCCAAGGCATTTGGTTTGCTTTGTGCCTTTGTGATACTCGCAAGGCTTCTTCCTCTCCGTTTGCGTGTATCCGCCATGTCGGACGGCACGTTCATAACGGGTGGCGTGCATACACCCAAAGCGTCGCGCGATGGACGTCGAGTATAGCCCCGGGGGGAACTGCACCGAGTTGCCGTCGGCCTATCCCGCCACTGTGCCTCGGGTTGTGAGTC